TAAGCCTCAATAACTGGTCTGTATTCAGGTAGACCTGAAAATATTTATTGTTAAATGGCTGCTGTGCACATAACAAGACAGCATCATTATCTGAACCTCTAGTTAACATTTACTAATTCTTCCTCTTTATGCGAGTACCTGATTGCACATACCATTTCTCAGGTTGGTATTTTCAGCTTCCAAGGACCGGATTCGCTTTTGTAAAGCACAAAGCTTTCTTTTCAGGCCAGAAACTTGGTCCATCATCCTCCTTTGTACCAAGGCCCCCACACCGCTTATGACAGGAGACGAGGCTTGTTGTAAACCTAAAAAAAAAAAAGGCCCAATGTTATTCCTGTCCTTTTCTTCTCAACATAACTGATATTCATTGTTTTATTAAATGATTTCACAAAACACTTTTTTCTTTCCACTGAGTTCTGCCATGTTGGTGCACAGCGCCTGCCACTTTTGCCATTTGTTTACACACAGACGCTTAGTTATTGGCATTGTTTAATGTGTTGGTAAAACGCTCAAGCATGGCAAGACTGTGTCAATGACAAAACTAAGTAAGTATGACAAGTAACGTATTTCAGCCACACAAAACACAAGCTTAATCTGATTTGTATCTTTCGGAACCACTCCGGCAGTACCTGTTAGGACATTTTGGCCGCCAACAGCTCGACCGCCAACTGCATCTATGCCGTACACTTTCAGACGCTGCCGCACGTCTGCTCGCCCCACTAGCAGATGTTGACACACTACAGACTAGATGCACCAGACATCGCAACAGGGGGACATTGAGCTTGATTTTGGCCAACCAGCCAAGCCAAATCCAGAAAGAATGGGCAGGGCCATTGACCTGTGGATGGGGCTTGGGGTGGCCCATGACGTCCACCTAAATTGCGTCTTTTGCCATAAATATTGCATTAAAAATTTTCTCTGGCCGACGCAAAAGAACTCTGCCTAGCTGGAAAACACTGCCACTACATGTAGAGAGACATACGGCATCAGTTCATCAACATGGTGTCCAGCAAGATTTTGAGCCGGAAGTAAATTGCATGAAACTGCCCTACAGGATGGTTCCATCTGATATACTTCCAGCTCGATGTCTTGCCAGATGCCATATTACTGTGATTAAATCTCAATTAACTCTCCCCGATCTTTCCGTTCATCGCAGAATTTCCCGTCTTTGCCCTCTTCATAAAATTTACTATCGGGAACCATTCCGACAGTCTGTCCTCAGCGAGCCCACCTACATCTCTGCAAGACATGATAATTCATGCACGATTCCCCGCCCCAAGACCATTTCAACAGAACGTCAACATTCCCTCCTACCAGAAGCTATTGAAGACTGGAATGGCCTTCCCAATGACATTGTCACCATCACCGATAATGCTAAATTTAGAATTGTACTAACCAACCACTCCCCTCTGTAATGCCCCTCGGGGCCCTGAGGGTAATTGTAAATAAATAAATAAACTTTCCTCGTATATCTTACTATGAGCAGAGGCAGCACTTCCCAGATCGCTCGTTCTTTTGCATTGTGATCAACTTCGCCTGCCAGACTAGTTGGGAACATAAAAGAGTATTGGCTAGTACTCAATTTTTATGCATTAAAGGGACCATGAAGGCAATTTCAAATATTTTCAGAAGGAGGTGTTTTTGGCTCTTATTTCTCTGCCTGAATGAACAATCTTTATCTGCCCAAAGGTGGTGTTGAAACAAATTTCCTAAACCGAAACAAACATTCGGACGTGACGTCGAGGAGCACTGTTGGTCTTTGTAGGATTAGGTGGATGCTTAGCGCGGTTTCCGCTGTTTACTATAATCCGCAGCATTCTGAACTGGAAAAATGGACGAAAACACCGCGCTCGCAGGTAAGTCTGAGCTCTGAGCAGCAGTGAACTCGCACAGCAGTATGGGAACTGCTTCTTAAGAGGACGCAACAACTTCACCTCTACACACGACTGTCATTCGTCAGTCACCGACACATAATTTACAATAACTAAGCGTCTGCTGAACACTACTGGGGAAAATGTGAGACACTGTTCATCAACATGGTGGAACACGACTCACTGGTAGTCAAAATTTGTTTCGTGAAATTGCCTTATAGAAGAAACGTCTGACCTGTCCAAGGAGTTGTCCCCTGCGGTGTACCTGGCTGGACGGAGGAGCCTGCTGCCAGGAATGAGGGAACTGCTCCTGAGTAGCGAGCAAAGAGCACAGCCAGCGTCAGTCCTGTCGTTCACTTCTACACACGACTGTCATTCAATCAGGGAGACGTTTTACCCTCCGAGGCAGTCGTCCCCTGTGGTGTACCTGGCTGGAAGAAGGAGCCTGCTGCCAGGGATGAGGGAACCACACCTGAGTAGCGAGCAAAGAGCACAGCCAGCATCATTCTTGCCGTTCACTTCTACACATGACTGTCATTCAATGAGGGAAACGTCTCACCCTTTGAGGCAGTCGTCTCCTGCGGTGTACATGGCTGGACGGAGGAGCCTGCTGCCAGGGATGAGGGAACCGCTCCTGAGTAGCAAGCAAAGAGCACAGCCAGCATCAGTCCTGTCGTTCACTTCTGCACATGACTGTCATTCAATCAGGGAAACGTCTCACCCTTTGAGGCAGTCGTCCCCTGCGGTGTACCTGGCTGGAAGAAGGAGCCTGCTGCCAGGGATGAGGGAACCGCAGCTGAGTAGCGAGCAAAGAGCACAGCCAGCGTCAGTCCTGTCGTTCACTTCTACACATGACTGCCATTCAATCAGGGAAACGTCTCACCCTTTGAGGCAGTCCCCTGCGGTGTACATGGCTGCACGGAGGAGCCTGCTGCCAGGGATGACGGAACCGCTCCTGAGTAGCAAGCAAAGCGCACAGCCAGCATCAGTCCTGTCGTTCACTTCTACACATGACTGTCATTCAATCTGGGAAACGTCTCACCCAGTCGTCCCCTGCGGTGTACCTGGCTGGAAGAAGGAGCCTGCTGCCAGGGATGAGGGAACCGCTCCTGAGTAGCAAGCAAAGAGCACAGCCAGCATCAGTCCTGTCGTTCACTTCTACACATGATTGTCATTCAATCTGGGAAACGTCTCACCCTTTGAGGCAGTCGTCCCCTGCGGTGTACCCGGCTGGAAGAAGGAGCCTGCTGCCAGGGATGAGGGAACCGCTCCTGAGTAGCAAGCAAAGATCACAGCCAGCATCAGTCCTGTCGTTCACTTCTACACATGACTGTCATTCAATCAGGGAAACGTCTCACCCTTTGAGGCAGTCGTCCCCTGCGGTGTACCTGGCTGGAAGAAGGAGCCTGCTGCCAGGGATGACGGAACCGCTCCTGAGTAGCAAGCAAAGAGCACAGCCAGCATCAGTCCTGTCGTTCACTTCTACACATGACTGTCATTCAATCAGGCAAACGTCTCACCCTTTGAGGCAGTCGTCCCCTGCGGTGTACCCGGCTGGAAGAAGGAGCCTGCTGCCAGGGATGAGGGAACCGCTCCTGAGTAGCAAGCAAAGATCACAGCCAGCATCAGTCCTGTCGTTCACTTCTACACATGACTGTCATTCAATCAGGGAAACGTCTCACCCTTTGAGGCAGTCGTCCCCTGCGGTGTACATGGCTGGACGGAGGAGCCTGCTGCCAGGGATGAGGGAACCGCTCCTGAGTAGCAAGCAAAGAGCACAGCCAGCGTCAGTCCTGCCGTTCACTTCTACACAGGGCTGTCATTTGTACTTTTATAAGGAATGCTCATAATTGTGGAGGGAGCTGCTCCCTGCAGCATTATTCGAGAATGGGCATTAAGCTCTTATATGTTCTGTGTGTAATTTCATGCAAAAGCAATATTCCACCCTTTGGCATTGACTTACTTTGTTTAAGCAGGGAGCGCTGACCAATGATTCTTATTAGGATGGAGCCTGCCGTATTCGATTTTTGTGCCGAGACTTGCAGTGAACCTGTAAATTTTGTAAAAAAAAATGGAACCCCACAATATGGTGCATGCAGCAGACATTTGAATGGCAGAGTAGTCAATGGTCACAGGAATGCATTTGTTTTGAGAGGGACCAATAGAGACAAAAAGAAATTGTTGTCGTCCTGCCACCAACAGACCCACCTCACCAACAGTTGGCGCATGCATGAAGCCGCCATAACTTTAGTTCACAATAGGTAGACGGTGGTGCCCTAAACGGCTTGTGCTGTCTCACGCGTAGAGTTCCAGTGTTTCGGGCACGTGCAGAAAGACTGAAGTTCCCTCAATGCATTGCGACAGCGGTGGCGCGTAGTCGAACTGGGTGGTGAGATCGGTCTATAGCATGAATTCCGTACACCTCACCCCGCTGGTGTTAAGGATGGTTCTGACCTAACATAGTCCGACACTGTTAATGCAAAGAAGGGATGAAAAATGTTCATATGGGGCACAAAGTTGCACCCTATTATTGGGTGCCAGCATTTACTAATTCAAAGTAAAATGCAAAGAGTGTCGCAGTTGTACTCTCACTAACAATGTCATGCAGCATTTGTGTCTGGCCATCATCTTACTCAACAACTGCAGCATCCGCACTGGGCACAAACTCCCAGTCGCAGCTTTGCATCTCGCTGAAGTGGGCGGCTGTGAGTATGGGCAAGGCTCGTGCTGAAGCCGCGAATTCCATCAGCACGCAGTTAAATTCCACTCGCGCTGTTCATTACAGCAGGGACCAGGGGCGGATTTAGAGGGGGGGGGGGCCGGATGTTCTGACCCCCCTCTTGATTTTTGCATGTGTAAAATTTAGGACGTGAAACGAGGGGGAGGGGGTTCCTAAACATATGGTACGCTGACCAACACCTCACCCCCCCTCAGGAAATTCCTGCATCTGCCCCTGGCAGGGACGCATGTATGGTGCAAATCAACACTTACCCAAAGCACAGAAGAGCATGCTGACATAAATTCCAATACTTTTTTATGATGTCCTGGGTACATACTACACATATACGCATGGCAGGATAGTCAATTGTTGCAGAAATGCCCAAGAAAGCACATACCACATTTGAGATAAGCAAATACAGGCCGAAAAAGAAGGAACGGAAGAATTAGCCCAGGGTATGCCTGGCACACGCTCGAGTTAAGGATGATTGTGACTGCATGTCGCTGCGTGTGCCCGGCTACTAAATGCTGGAATTGCATGTGACTCACCAACTGGAGGGCTCGCCTGAGGCACAGACTCCTGGTCGCAGTTTTGCACTTTGCTGGATTGTGCTGCTGTCTGCGTGGGCAAGGCTTGTGCTGAAATTGTAAACTTTGTCAGTATGCAGTTCAATGCTACTTGCATTAATTCATCACCTTGGACAAGCATATTCTCAATAATCTGTGAAGGAGGAAGTACGACACCTGTGAGAGCAGCAGTTGAATCCAGAGATGGAAGCGTCTGGATGCTGTCTTCCTCCTGCATTGGCTCCCCTGCTTAAAATAGGTAGCATTTTAATACCAAATCTAGCAACCAAGTGACTGCAAATTCACCATCTCTGACTGTGTCAACTTACCTTGGATGTTTCCCACTTCCCTTTCTCGTGGTGGTCTTCGAACTGGCTTTGGCAGCCTATGGCTAAACTTGGTGGGGACAGCGTCCGGTTTAAGTTTTTTGATGACATGGCTCTGCCAGATCCGAGGTTCAAACTGATCTCGTGTAAAATGGTCCTGTCGAGAATAAACAGCGCTAACTTGCAATTCATGGGACAGTGCACTGAGAACACTAAATAATTCGACTTTGTTTGGAGGTAGAGAGCGTCACACTGTTAGTACAGAAGAGTGATCGCCGCTTTTTTCTCGATCGGAATCAAAAATTCGTCATCAAAACCGCTAGTGCGGTGGGAAGGGTATATTTGGGACGCTAACCTAAGCGGTAAAATTTGGTGCAACACAACACTCCATGGAAGTAAAATACGTAGAGACACTGATGCTCTGTTCGCGCCAACAGTGCCGCGCATTGTACGCCCGATGTATCCCCGCGCGCGGACAGTATGAGCTGGAACACCCGATCCAACCTTTTTCTGCGACTCCCACAAGCTCCATTATTCCTCAACTTCGCTTTCTATTCCTAATTTGGGTCACAGCTCTCTCAAAAACAGGTGGTAAGCCAAAGAAGCATGAAAGGCGTTTTCGGCTCATACTGTCCTCGGTAGTAGCTTTTCGTGTTTCCTAGAGGTTCACTGCGAGACACTCACAGCTGAAGCGGCTAATCGGCGGCTTCATCCATTCATATCGTGTCCCTTAAAAACTCAGATTACGCGAAAAACTTTGCCGGCCAACAACCGGGTTTTCGAGTGAAGAACAACAGGCTAAAACGGCAGAGCACCGATGCCGCATTTCAGCTGAGAACGAGTTCGGCAGTCAGGCGTGTCAGGAAAAACATTGCACGTGTATCTATGTGAACATGTGTGGAAGAGGTAACTAGCTCAGAAATGCTCACCTCACAAAGCTTGCTGCTTCTGGTAGGGACAAAGTTTTTCCTCCCAATCATGTGGAGCCATGCCTTCTTTCTGCCTCTTCAGATCGGCTTTCCGAAGGGGGACGGCGAACAACTTTTTTCCACTACCAGAACTCTGGCTGCACCCAAAAGCGCAGCACCCCGTCATCTAACACAACCGCTTGCTACTTGACTTGCCTCATTACAATCCAGAAACACCAGGACGTCGAGCTAAAGTCGGCGAGTATCGCGAAACACGCGGGCGGACGGAGCAGCCGAGCAGCTTGGAAGCAAATGGCGGACGGAAGTGGCGACAATTCCGGAAATCACGTGACATCGCTCTCCTCCAATAGAAACAGATGTCGGCGCGGCAAAGAATGACGGTACTTGTAAAACGCAGTGAAAAAACATTGAGGGACTTTAGGTTTATCATCCGTTGAAAGGTGGCCGCGGCGTTCTTCAGGCCGAACGGCATCACCTTCCACGCGTATTGCCCTTCGTGCGTCACGAAGGCCGTTAAATGTTCGCTCTCGCGAGCCATGGGCACCTGCCAATATCCGCGGCGCAAATCGATCACGGTGATGAACTTCGCGCCCCCGACTCTAAAAATCAACTCTCTCGGGTTTGTCATTGGGAACGCGTCGGGGAGCGTGGCGGCATTCAGCCGCCGATAATCAACACATAAGCGCAGCACCGTGCCGTCTTTCTTGGCGACGCACACGATTGGGTGCGCAAACGCGCTTTCGACAGGGTAAATTAAGTCCAGCTCAAGCAGTTCGCGAATTTGCCGGCTAACCTCCCCTTTGAGTAGCTCGGGAATCCGGTACGGGTGCCCCGCCTTGGATTTATGCCCCTCCTCTAGCTCAATCTTGTGCTGGCCCACCGTGGCTCTCCCGTGTGCCCCGCCGAATACTTCGCGATGCTCAGCGAACATGTTTAAGTTCTGGTTCCTTAACTCTGCGTCGAGGTGTTCCAGTTTTGACACGGGGAGCTCTCCTGTGCCGTCTGAATCACCCCGAGGGGCGTACTCGACCTCGCCAAAGTCTTCGGCTTCGTGGAATACCACTCCCACGTGCCCTGCTCGGGCATAGTAGGGCTGAAGTCGGTTTGCCTGTGCTATTGAAATCTTTCGGTTGGGCCCCTCCAACCGGTAGGAGTTCTGCCTCTCTGTCCCGATAACGGTCAAAGGCCCGGTCCACCTTGGCGCCATCTTACCTGTTCGGTTGCAATCGAACAGCAAAACCTTTCCTTCCACCTGGAAGGACTTTTCCCGTGCGTTACGGTTGTACCTGTCCGTGTAATCGCTCTGCTGAATACTGCTGCTCAAACTGGCCATCTCCACCGCTACTTCCATCTGCTCTCGCAACTGTTGTAAGTACTTCATGGGTTCTTCGCGAAGAGTACCGGGAACAGTCACCTCACCTGTCCACGTTTGCTGCAGTATAGCCAGTGGCCCACTAGGGTCTCTACCGTAAAGCATACGGAAGGGAGACGCCCCGGTAGTCTCGTGCGGCACCTCTCGGTAAGCCCAGAAAACGAAAGGCACAAGTTTATCCCAGTTCTTAGGGTCGCGTTGGATGACATGAAACAACATATTCTTAAAATTGCGGTTCCATCTCTCCACGGCTCCGTTGCTCTCCGGGTGTTCTGGCGTGGAAAACCTCGGGGAGCAACCCAGTCTTTCGAGCATCTGCTGCGTTTGCTTCGCGGTAAAGTTCGTACCCTGATCGCAGCACACGGTCTGGGGCACCCCCGTACGACTGAACACGTCTAGGAGGGCCTTGCACGTGGCCTTCGCAGTTAGTGAACGAAGGCAGATGACTTCGGGCCACCGAGTACAAAGGTCCACCATGCAAAGAGCATACCTGTGACCCCTCGATGAGGGCACGTCGAGAGGCCCGATTATGTCCACGTTCACAGCCTGGAAGGGATGCTCGGGACGTGTGAGTGGTGTAATCGGCACCCTATCCTTGCGCCTCCTATCCGATCGAATCTGGCACCCGTGGCACGACTCGCAGTGCGTAGCTACGTCCCTTTCTAAGCCAGGCCAATAGAAGCTGTACTTGATACAGAGCTTCGTTTTCTTTGCACCCAGATGCCCGCCCCAGAACGACTCGTGCGCGAGGCGCATCACCTCCTGTCGCCTCTCGCTGGGAAGGACCAATTGCCCGACTTTCGAGCCAGCAATTGTGTCCCAGTGATACAGGAGCTCGCCCGATACGAACATCCCTCCCTTGCCCTGGCTCGCGTCCTCCCACGCCTTTCTTAACCCCGCGTCATTTTTTTGTGAATCGCGGAATTTAACAGCCTCGCTTGGCTCATCTCGGTCTATATCGGGATCCTTAGCTTCCTCTCCCCTCTCGTCTGTTACGGCGCCCGCAAGAACTTCGTCCTCGTCGTGTTCCCTGCCACTCTTTCCGCCGACACTTGCCTCCACCGGGGTTTCCCGCTGAGACGCGGAAGAGGGACCGGCGCCTCCCGTGAGTAGCGCCCAGTTCTCTCCCGTCAAAAAACAGTCCACCCCAGGGGCAAGCTCGTCGGTCAATGCGCACACAATGTTTATCTGCGCGCCGTCCACGACTGTGCCGTCGTGGCGGAGCTGCAGTGGCAAACGAGCGAGCTTGGCCGTTATTGCCTGTCCAAAGGCTGAAATCAAGCGTATCGATCCCGACGGATCCCCTGCACTCGTCGGCAATAATCCTTCCCGGATAACGGTTATTTTGCATCCCGTATCGAGGATCGCGTCCGTCGGGACGCCAGCGCAAACTATCTCGACACGCTGCAAGCTGGAAGTGCAGGCGGCCTGCGGTGGTCCCGTCGCAAGCTTCGCCACCAACAACCCCGAGGTATCTGGTGCTGGTTCGTCCTCTCCCACTACTATCGACTGTATCCGCGATACCTTCGAGCCAGCTCCAGGCTGAGCTCCCGGCTTTGATTTCCGAGTCGGACAGTCCCTTGCCAAGTGACCCTCTTTCTGGCACTCGTAGCATCGGGATAGACGGCCAGCCCTGCCATTCTTTGTGGCGGGCGCCGCGCCGGTGTCTACGCTTGCCTCCACCACCTTTGCGAGGCGACCCTTCCCCTCAGCTTCCTCGAACGTCTGAAGAATTTTGGCGATCTCGTGTGCCTTCATCCATCCCTCGCCCTCGCGCAGAATCATATTTCAAGCTGTCCTTGCCCAGACCGTTTTTTACTCGATCCGCGATTATCCGTTCGACTAGGTCTTGCTTAGTGTCAGCCCCTCTCGCATCTAGGTAATAAGTAAAATAACCCCTCACCCTTCGTCTTTTCTTTTGGACGTGGTTTCGAAGCGCCGGAGGTATTCCCCAGGCGTCAGTCTCAGCTCCTCTAGGACCTCTTATACAATCTTGTGCGCAACAAAGACGAGGACAAAAGCAGAGAAGAGGACACAACAAGGCGCCTTGTTGTGTCCTTTTCTCTGCTTTTGTCCTCGTCTTTGTTGCGCACAAGATTGTATAAGATGTCAAACCAACTCGCCCAAACAACCACTCTCCTCTAGGACGGCCGCTTTCACCCTTTCGTAGTCGGCGACCTCCTCCGCGCTCAGGCTAGCGAAAAGGTACCTCACCCTCTCCGATAGTGCAGGCATAATCAAATGCACCCGATTGTTTTGGGGCACCCCGAACGTCGAAAATATTTTTTCGACTTCCTCGAACCAAACTGGCACGTCCGCGTCGCAAGGCAGCTTACTGCCCTTCAGCACCTTGGCACACTGCGAGAACGGGTCCATGCGACAACCCTTGCTCGTGTCCGACCCAGAGCTTGGCTCCGGTCGAGTCATCTTTCCCTCTACCTCAATCCGGCGCATAGCGATGCGCTCCTCCGGCTCGAGTCTGAGCAACTCGCACGCGTGCTCTAACTCGAGTCGCCGCATCGCAACCGCATTGGACTCGCCCGAGTTTCCCGCTTTCGGTAGCCCAACCTCGGCCCGATCACTGTCCCCCGTCCCCGACTCATCCGCCGACTTCTCAGCAATGCCTCTCGTTACGACCACCATAAACTACTCAACACTGTACCGGAGCCACGTCAACCCCTGGAAACATGCAAGAAATCCCACTCACCCAGTCCGGGATAGCCTGTTTCCGTTCTGCTCCAACGTCGGCAGGCGCTCACTTGCTTGCACCCCTTGACGGTTCAGGTGCGCTGAGGTCTGCCGCCGTCTTCAGGAGCTTGTTCCAACAGGGTGCCGGTCCGGAGACGTGTTGCGGCTGTTTCCGTCGAGGAGTCCCAGCCCTTGC